CTCTTAGAATACTGTTTTAGGATAATTCTGCGGACATGTCTCGCACAGTAAAAAAAAGTCCGAATCGCGAGCATCGAGCAGTTGAAACTCCCGCTCTTTACCGATCTGAAAATGGTGGACCCGGCGAATCCGTTTCCGCTCTCCCTCGAGTCTCTAGAGAAGGGGAAGCCGAATTTTGAATGGGCGTCGCGTGGCCTCGCCGTGTCTGTTTTTCAGCGGTTGATGGAGGTTAAGGTGCTCCAGTCTGCATTTGTGCCGTTTATTGGACACATACGCGAGAGTGGTTCACGTTAAAGGGCTACAATTATTTAAATCTAACGAGAATAATGGCAAAATTTAAAAGAACTCAAAACCAACGCGCTGCTCACGCTGTAAAACCATCCATCGTGAAGGTAACCGTTTAATTCTCGTTTAAAATAGTTGTTTCCTCATTTCACGTTTCGAGTTTACGATATGAGATTCTTTTATTTTAGAAACGAGGGAAAAGGAAAGGCCCGTTGAATGGCACACATAAAAGTAATTTAAAGAAACTAGGTGCATCCAACGAAATAGCAACGAACGCGTACGCAAATGTACAAAGTAGTAAAAAGAAAAAGCAGGGTAAGTCTAAGAATAAATTTGGTACAAGCAATACAGAAAAGTCAGGTGTTTCTACAAGCTATCGAGAAAATAGTAAGAAGAATTCACAAGTATTCCAAAAGGTACAAATTAATACAAAGCAAAGGATGAAAACTAAGCTTAGCGCCAAGGATACAGAAAGATCGGATGTTCCGACCAAGTACCGAAAAAATAATAAAAAACCGCCAGAAGCGTCCCGGAATGTACAAGTTGACACGAACGGCAAGACAAAACGTAAGAAAAGAAATAAACGGAACGTGAACGTTGATCGCGCAAATGCTGCGGCAGTTGACAACGCGAGAGAAAGAGGCAAAGGGCCGCAGGCGCCTGCAAAGAATCTTAATCTTGAGCGTAGGAAAACACAAGTTGAGAAACTTGAGACGATAAGCGGGAAGAAGATGAAACGGATATCAGCCGAGGTGGAGTCGCAGCGGGTGACACCTGACGAGACGTTGCAGATGAACAGGTGTAAAATAAACATTCAGAAATTGAAGGAGATGCTCGCGAGAAAGTCGCAGCCGAAGCCGAAGACCGCGCAGCTCACCTTGAGGGACAGAATGATGGCGCAGTTAAAAGCGTCGAGGTTCAGATACATAAATGAAATACTGTACGACAGCGACAGCTCGCAGTCCAAGCGCTACTTCAAAACGGACCCCGACGCTTTCGTGGCCTATCACGCGGGATATAAGCAGCAACTGGCACAGTGGGCGGTGAATCCGCTGGATGTTGTAATATCGTCGATTAAGAACCTGTTGGTACACTCTGCTTTAGCTTTAAGAAAGAAATTGGCGCAAGCCCCTACAGTGTCTTGACAATTGCAGGCCGACCGACAACGTGATCGCGGACTTTGGATGTGGCGAGGCACGGCTCGCCGCTTGCGTCCCTCACACCGTACACTCGTTCGATTTCGTCGCGCTGAATGACAGAGTGAAGGCTTGCGACATGGCTCATACTCCGTTACTCATGAATAGCGTCCACGTTGTCGTGTTTTGTCTCTCACTAATGGGGTCTAATCTCAACGACTATATAATGGAAGCTAATAGGGTTCTTAAAAACAAGTAAGTAGCATCGATAGCCAGCTCTTTATCGAGATAGCGACAAGTACAGTGAGAAATTAATACCTTCGTTCCGATTAGCGGGCTCTTGAAGATAGCAGAGGTCGAGAGCAGATTCGAGAACGTGAAGGACTTTATAAGAGCGCTGGGTAGTTACGGTTTCAAAAGTACGTGGAAGGACTTGTCCCACAACCTGTTTTATTTCATGGATTTCAGGAAAGAAGAAGATATAATCATGAAGAAGAAAACTCTTCCTTCGATTACGCTGAAATCGTGTTTGTATAAAAAAAGGTAGCATCAAATTATTGAGTAACATTTTGTTTTTTTACACAAAATAAAAGTTAAAGCTCCGCGTAAAAGTGTTCCATGGTGATTTTTTGTTGATATTACCATTACCCCTGAGTAGTAAAGCTTATATCAACGTCGTCTGGAAACTTGCTCTATGTGCCCGCTTAAACAATGTGCCATTCTTTAAAACACATTGCTCCATTAGGCACAAGTCATAGTTGCAGGAAATAAAAGATATTCAATAGTAATTTCGTATATTTAGAACATATTGTGAAAACATAATTTATAAAAAGTAATTGATTCCTTAATAAGCGCATTGTTTCATTGTGCAACATATTATTTAACGAGAATAAAAAAAGAATAGACTCATTGTCGTCAGTACATAATTAACCAATGTGGGAAAATTGATAGCCGACACAACTGGCAATTCTAATTAGAGAAAATTTATTGCGAAAAATATCACCTCGGCCAGGATTCGAACCTGGACTTCCCTACATTCTAGGCGGACGTCTCACCAATTCGACTGAGGCATGTGGTAATGTTTGTCGCAACAAACAGTCCAAAGATGATATCTTTGCATCTATTTTGCTACGTTAAGCTGCGCGCTTAAAAATCGCGTATCGACAGTTCTGTGTACTGCCGACAAACCGAATCTGTGTACAGTTTAAAGTCGAAAAATAGACGCGAAGATATCATCTTTAAGCTGTCTGTTGCGACAAATATTACATGCCTCAGTGGTCGAATTGGTGAGACGCCCGCCTAGAGTGTAGGGAAGTCCAGGTTCAAACCCTGGCTGAGGTAATATTTTTCGCAATAAATTTTCTCTAATTAGAATTGCCAGTTGTGTCGACTATCAATTTTCCCACACTGATTAATATATTATTTACATGTATACACATAATTTATTGTCTAAACTTCTAAAGAAAAAACAATTCGTCTATTTGTACTTATATTTTCATCAAGTTTCTGTGAAACTAAATCCCTCACATGATTCGTACGTCTCGTTTAGGAAGAACGTTACATAACTGTTAATATTTACACACCTACTTCTATTTGACTTATATTTATACCATCCAAAATATCTTCCCACTCATCTTTTAAGTCCTCTGCTCTTCGCAATAATAAGAGCTGTAATTTACCACAAGCATTGAATAATGTGAACACGAAATATGAACGAATATTTATATATAATAATAAACATAGCTTACTTTTGCTGCAGCTATAATTTGCGTGACTAATTTGTTACTTAAATATGGAATCTGTTCCCTTATGTCTTTGGGAGTGGCCTTCGCTATAGATTGTAAAGTTTTATAGCCAGCTTTATACAATTGCCGAGCTCTACCCTATAGTAATGATTACAATAAATAAGTAAAAATATATACCAAACGTTTCATCTCTAAATATTTTTTGTACAATATACATGAGACATAAAGTATGATATAAAATTAATAACTTACTATTTTAACTGAGGGCAATTCCATTAACTTTTCTAACTCTAACGGGCAACAGTAAGATAGTTTTTTACTAAATGTACTTAACATCTCGGTAAATGCCCAAAACTCGGGCAATTCCTGTAAAAGAAAATTCGAGATTAATATATTTTGAAAATTTTCATTACATCGCATTCATCACTGTAGTTAACGTCAACTCGTTTATTTACCTGACAAAATCTGACTATGGAAGACGCAAACATTGAGACTGCATTTAAAAGACTCTGTATAACACCTCTACTAACTTGGTATTTTTCAGCAACGAAATAAACTGTACGATGATTCCACAATTCATATATTATTAATGTCACATAAAACCTGTGAACCACTCTCTTGTCGACGCACTGTATACAAGTAAATTTTGTTTTTGAATAAGCAGTAAATCTAAATTCAGATTATCCGTGATGATAAACTGACCTTAGGCATTATGCCGTCACGTAATTTATTTGCTGTAGCCTCTGTTATTCCAAGAAGTCTCGCAACTTGCATTTGACTTTCAGTCAGCTCCATTATCTTGAACAGTATTATGAGACATATTTATAGTAACAGCGTTACTTGCAATATCGACATATAAAAACACATATAGATGATATTACCATGTCATAATAGATACTGCCGATGGGGGTAATTTGAGATACACTGTCGTAAGGTGTGACGAGATACAGAAGATGGAGATTATCAATTAAGATTAAATGCTTCTGAGCTGTTTTTAAATCCTCGTACAATGTATATGCGGTTTTTAAATCAATCGGCCCTACAACGATATTGCACATAACATTACAATGTATTTGAAAATAGAAATGCGGAAAAACTTGTCGCCGTTACCCTTCAATGCGGCTTGTCCCAAGTCACAAAGCTGAAATTCAGTTTCACTCGTAAACGTGACCGTTTTTACACCCTTTCTAACTTCTCTCTTGTCCACGCGCGTTGATTCTTGAGACGGAATGACAACAGTTACATTAGGATTACCAGCATTGCTACCTTTGCTCTTTACTTTTATCACGCCACATTTTAATAGCGCCGTTATTGTTTCGTCCGTGATCGCCTTCAAGTTAACGTCCATTCTAGTTTGTTGAATATTGAGCAAAGTCGCAGTTGTTAATTTATGCAATTCGGACCTAGTCAACGCCATGTTTAATTGTATCGCACTTAGAATCAGATTGTTAAGTCCCCTGTCGTTTTCTGTGTGTAAACTACTCAGCGAGTCGTCCATCTGAGAAGTCAGAAGATCTTTCACCTGTAACGTAAATTATTCTATGCTTAGCTCTTAAGATGATCAATGATATTCTATATATATATGCCTTCAATCTATTCTACAATTCTTACTTTACTGATCTCGGACTTTTTGCAGATAAGTATACTTTCTCCTAAAACTCCCATACCGGCCCGACCAGCCCGGCCAATCATTTGCTTGTATCTACTTAAATTCAAGAACTGATTACCGACATAAGGACTACGCAATATTACCTAATAAGAAAGTACATATAAAAATAAAGAGCTAATATTATTAGCAGCTGTAATATTAATCAATCATGTTGATGAATTACCCTCCTCGCTGGCAAATTGACACCAGCCGCTAAGGTCGACGTGCAACATATCACACATAGAGTACCTTCTCTAAAGGCGTCCTCTAACAGGCGCCGTTCCTCGGACGTAAGACCAGAATGATGGTAGGCTACGCCAAATTTGATAGTTTTTTCCAAAATGGAGCACAATCCTTCTTCAGTCTTAAGCGTGTTTAACAAAGTTTTCTTTTCGTTCGTTTTGTAATTATACAAACTCCTAAAACAGCAAGATCCTGTTGCTTATAATCGGACTTACCAGCTTTCTCAGAAGAAACACTCGAGATAAACTCACTTGGGCAAGATTTTGGTTAATAATAAGGCCACATTCTCGCAGTTTTTACGACTTGAGCAGAATATAAGGCACGAATCGTTTGGCACTACTTCCATTATCAGACCTCCAATTCTGTCTGGGTCCAGCATTGCTGTGTCAGCTGAATACTTTGCGGTAAAATTGTCAATGTATTTTTCTCGACACTATCTTTTATATGCAAAGATCTTGTAAAACAATACTTAGATCACCTTGTAATCATTGGTGCTCATGTCTACTAGCAATTCCTCACTATTCAAGTTGACCATCCACATGTCGTTCTCACATTTCACATATTCTGTTATTTTAACTGGCCGAAAGTTTTGAGAGTACGTGTCCGCGTTAAGAAACTGCGCGACCTCCTTTAAATTACCTATCGTTGCACTCATCCCAATCAAACGTATCACATCTATAAGGAATTGATATTTTACGAACAAGAGAACTTTTAGCAAGTTTCATCCTTGCTGAATAATTTCATTTGAATCTTAACGTGAACGCGATTTGATTTATATATCTATAATTACCACTGAAGAACATTATCTTTGTAAGAAGTCCTTCCAATGTAGCTCCTCTTCCTCCAGACTCTCCGAGCAGATGCAATTCGTCAACAACTATAATACCAATCTAAAATATGTTCAACAAGTGAAACTTCAAGTCGAAAACTGATTCTCACAAGTAGAAATATGTCATCTTTGGTCGAACTGGTTCACGTGGATTGGAGGGAAATCCAGATTTAAACTCTGAGATAATATTTGTTGCAACAAATTCTCTTTACAATAATTTAATGCCCGTATCAAACTACAGATTGAGATTAGATTGAAACTTGACCAATCAGAATAAAATTCATAAACCTGAGATTAGCGAGCTTCACTTTGATTGATCAAATTTCAACCTAATTTCAATCTCAACCCGTAGTCTGATATAACGGCTTTATTAAAGTTAAATTGATTATCGATTGCGCCTTGTTGAACTTACTATTCCAACGCAAATCATTGTTTCAATCGGCGTGTAGTTAAAAGGGAAATACATATAAAATTTAGGCAAATAGTATAAAACTGTAATATAAACCAGCTCGACCGAGTATAATACATTCCTATTCACTTGTAAAACTTCTTTGCATGTTGTACCACCTGATACCTAACTGTGATAATTAATTACTAATATTTTAGCTTACCTCGACTAAGCGCTTCGCTTCTATTAAGCTGTTTACAAGCCCTAATGCTTTCTCTATAGTACATATATAAATGCTGTTTTTCTTCCGCCGTTTAATTGGTGGATAACGGCCTTTCGTACCAGCATATTCCTCAATTAAGAAGCCTAACTTTAATGCCAGTATAGCCATTGATTGGACCTAATGGATATAAATTTGCGAGCTCAATTAATTCGCACGAATACTTTCACCAACGCATTAATTTTTAAGCGCCACACCTTCTCCTGTACCAAAGCCACATACGGAAGTATAAAAATGACATTCTTTTTGTTGCACAAAATCTCCCTGAACATTAATATCTCTGCGACCAATGTTTTGCCGCCGCTGGTCGGCAGAGCGTAAATTAAGTTCTTCTTGCTTCCGATAGCCATCTTCAAGCATTCGTCTTGCCATTCTGCACAGAGAAAAGAGCAACGAGAGTCGTGTTTACTTCTAAATCTCAGTTGCAATTGCAAGCAACTTACGATATAATTCACAAATCCCCTTCACTTCCTGTATCAATTTTTTCACAGTATTCGACAAGCCGTAAAATGAAGAACAGTTTGCGGGATCCGCTTCAATCTCCGCTCCTTTCGACGCGGCATCATTTAAGCGCGGCTTTTTCCTTAAGATTTTACTCTCGCTCGAGATCGCGGGTTTGTTATTTAAAACCGGCGAGGGCACTTTACGGGCGTCTCTCTCGAAAGGACCATCCCCCAAGGTATCGTCGCCGAAACTTGTAATACAGAAACACGACGCGCTTAACTCGTCCTGGTACAACGCAGCTTCACGCAGCTGATTTAAAGCTGCTTCCTCAGCGTTTCGCTCCGCGCTGTCCGGTCCAGAGTTCGCGGGCTCCTCGCAGAACGTGTCGAACATGTCGAAACCGCTGATGTTACCGCAACCCTCCGGGGCGGCTTCCTCCAGCTGGTCCTGCGAGTCGAATTGAGCGAACACTTGATCCATCAGGGTTTTGTCCTGCCACTCATTCGCGCCGGGCGATCCGGAGCTGGCCGTCGCGACGCACCGCACCTCGGCGGCTCGCGACGCCGATTGCGGCTCGCTGAACTCCCGGAGGGGCCTGAACGTTCCCGAAGGGACGTGCGCTCCATGGTCGGGCTCTATGTTACACAGCAACGAGTTGTCCAGCAGCAGCAGGGACTCGACGGTGTACGGCGAGCCGGGTCTGCCGCTCTTGTCGAAGGATACTCGGCAGTTCTCCTTATCGTCGCCCAGCACTTCCATCTGATCCCTCCGGCAGCTACGGCTCTGAAAGAACGAGTGCTCTGCAGGTTTGTTTACTCACACTTACCTCAGCGTGTCGCGCCGTTTTTTCAACTGTTAACGATAAATCTTTGCACCTACCGGTCAGGCGTCACAACCGGTGGTCCTAAAATAACAGGAAGACCCCTCGGGCGGCAGCCGCTCGATTCATCCTTGCGGAAAGAGTGCGATGGTAATATCGATCGCTCGAGCCTCGTGGTCCGGCGACGTTCACGCACGAAACCATAACCTGTTGCGGCCCGTCGCGTGATCTACGCGCGGCATCCTGGGACAGCTGGGTCGACGGGTGGCTGACGAGCGTAGGTCGCCGCGATGCCGAAGAAGAAGACCGGGCAGAGGAAGAAGGCCGAGAAGCAGAAGCTGCGGCAGAAGGAGATCAGGGCCGCCAAGGAACAGGTCGACCTAGCCAAATTTCCGTGCAACTCCGTGATGGTGAGTGCGCTTTTTCTGGCCGCGAGAACGCGCTTGACTACGTTCGCTGATACAACTTCATCCGCAGGAGTGCGACAAGTGCAATAAGAAGCAAAAGAGCCGTGCCTTCTGTTACTTCTGCCAGAGTTTACAGCGGCTGCCCATGTGCGCGCACTGCGGCAAGATCAAGTGCATGCTGAAGACGGGGGACTGCGTGGTGCGCCATCCCGGGGTCTTCACCACGGGGCTGGGAATGGTGGCAAGTGAATCTGCGTCTCTGCAGAGAGGGCCTGGGCAGAATGGCTGTCTTGTATTCTTGAGTC